ATACAGCAGGTATCTAGCTGTCTCTAAAACAGAATATAGGCCTATATAACAAACTACAAATCATTTAAACCATATAATCAATACATAGATATATCATAATTCTTATCCTAACATTATTAAGTAACAGAACTAACTCAAACTTAATCCTATTCTGCTCAATTCACTAATACAATCACTGGTATCCATTAAATCACAATGAACTGATTAAATGCTGATTAAATTGAGCAGGGGTATCAAAATTATCTTCATAGCAGATTACAGCTAAAGTAAAGACTATTAATTAATAGTACAAATTAATAGAAAACAAAGTAGTACAGTGTTAAGGGCACTCACTGCCTCTGGAGTCAAAGGACCAGGTTCAAATTCCACCTACGACTATTTAACAGCAATGTGACCTTGGGCAAATCCCTTAAGTTTGGTTTGGTGAAAGGTAAAAAATGAGAGCCTTGGACTATTAGCGCTTCCTAAACTGTGGGTTGAGAAGCCATATGGGGTTTAAAAAGAGTGCCAGGGGTCAGAGAATGGAAGAAGTTTAAAAAGCCCTGGACTAGATGACCCCTGAGGTATTTTCCTGCTCTAAATCTATAAGAAGATCCTATTAGTACTGGGCCATTTTCCACAGTACAAATTCCATTTTTAAAAAGTATTAATCACAAGAACACACAAATAAAGGCGGCGAAAAATAGTATGTTTCAATCTGTATTCAAACTCCATCAGTGCTTTCTCTGGAAGTGAATAGCAGCAAATTCTTGATCACCATGTTTGAAGTTGTTTTTTGTAGTAGCAGTTACACATATTGTATTTATCAATTCAAACTGTCACACCCAACAATACTTATGACCCAGCACTAAAAATCATGGTTTAAAGAGGAATAATTTAGAAACTAAGTCACCGATAAAGGGATTAGGACTCATTAGCATAGCAGCTAAAATTATTAAGTACCACATTTTAAGCACAATGACCACTTCAAAAAAATCAAGGAGCATTTAGTAAGTAAATAATTTATTTTAAGCATTAAGTGCCTACTATTTACAAGGCATGGGTAATACAAAGACAAAGGTAAAACAGTCCCTTCCCTCAAGAAATTTCTATTCTACTATGGTACACAAGTTCCCAGGTAAGTAAAGAGTTCATATATGTATGTGGATGTACAGAACACATAATAAATGGAAAAGCTACCATAACAACTGAGATTGGGAATCAAGAAAGGTAACACTTGAGCTGAGTGAGGCTTTAAGGGAATGAGAAATTACAAAAAGCAAAGGTAAACAGGGATAGCATGCCAGACGTTGAGGTATGACATAGACTGTAACATATGTTCTCCATAATAGGTCAGTTTAACTCGTTAGATTACATTAAAACAGCATTAGTGACTCCATTTTGCCTTTACCATCTTATGACATTAAGTTTCAATGTCTTCCACCTAATTTTGGAAAAGTTAAAAGATTACTCCCCCTCCCAAATGTCACCAATTTAAGGAATGTCACAAAACTACACCTCTCCCTCTCACCTCAATGTCTCCCGATCTTCTCCACCATTAAGAAATCCAGTGTCCCAATCCCTATAATTCTGTTTTTCTTGTTTATCATTTCTACGAATTCTATCTTAGAACTGTGTCAGGGTCCTTGGCTACCAAGAACCTTGGACTCGATTTGTTTCTGCAATAGCATCCCTTGCTAAATAAATCATGTCTGGATGAAACTGTTTCTTTATTCTACCAAAACAAATTAGACCCTAGTTTGTGAGGTTCAGATTAATATGCAGTTAGACAGGAAAGATGCATTGAACCAGACAGTGAAGGGATTTAAGTACCAAATGGATTATTTGTATATTATCCCAGAGATAAAAGGAAACTACCGAAACTTCTTGACAAGAGGAACGTTATGGTCAAACTTGAACATTAGGAATATTAAACTGCTGACTGCATAGTAAATAGATAAGGAAAGACTAGAAGCAGGAAGATCAATTCTAGAAGGCTATTTCAATAATCCAAGCTAGAGATGAAGAGGGACTGAACCAGGATATTGGCTATGTTATATAGTCACTATATAGTTATGTAAGAAGAGAGAAAAGGAAACCAACTGTTGTGGTGCTTAAACTGACAAGACTTGATAACTGTGTTTTTTGTTTTTTGTTTCTCATGGTTTTTCCCTTTTGTTCTGATTCTTTCACAACATGACTAATGTGGATATATATTTAACAGGATTATACATGTATAACCTACATCAGATTGCTTGCTGTTTCGGGGAGAAAAATTTGGAATTAAAAATTTTATGGAAAATGCACAATCTTGCAAACTATCTTTACATGTAATTGGCAAAAAATAAAATACTATTAAGTGGAAAAATTTTTTAAAAGACTTGACAATTGTTTGGCTATGGGGATGAGGCAGAGTGTAAATAGCTTAAAATGACTCCTACTTTGCAAACCTGCAAAACCTTTTTTTTAAAAAGTGTGGGTTTAAGCAGAAAAGATATGATACAATAAGCAGGTTTGGTCATCTGCTAAAAAGAAAACTAAATTAGCAGATGACGACAACAACACCAGGCTCAAAACAAAGATAAATTTCTGAGATATGTTCTTTTAGTTCTGTAGTTCTTAACTTTTTCTGTCTGGTTGAACTCTTTTTGGAAGTTTAAGTTAAACCTATGGGGCCTTATTTTTAAATGCATAAAATAAAATACATAGGATTATAAAGGAAAAATTAAAATTTTACCAAAACAGTAAAAAAAAAAGTTCATAGACCCCAGATTAAGAACCCTTGCCTTACTTTATGCTTACACATGTAATTTATAAGGGCAGCTTCGTGACATAGGGGAGAGAACATTGGGCCTGGAGTCAGAAAGTTGTTTTTGTTGTTCAACTCTTTTGTGACCTCACTTGAGGTTTTCTTGGCAAAGATACTGGAGTGGTTTGCCATTTTCCTTCCCAGGTCATTTTACAGATGAGGAAACTGAAGAAAACAGGGCTAAGTGACCCTGAGCAAGTCACTTAACCCCTGCCTGCATAACAGTAAAGAAGAAAAGTGTTGTGAAAAAAAAGCCTTACTACAGATAATAAGCAGTAACAAACTGGATAGAGGCCAGAGTAGGGAAGACTCGGGTTCAAGTCAAGCTTGCGACTGACTTGCTGTGCAACTCATTATTAGGGCCCTCAGGTACATTCTGTAAATTGCTCAACAGTGGAATAACACTTGGCCAGAGGTACTCTCCTCAGTGGAGTCTTCCTTATGCCAGTAATATCACAGGTCTAGATATAAAACAAACTATAATACATGTAAAACCTTAAGGGTTAACATTTATTTGTTATAGATTAACAATGATTACTTTCTTTTAAAGCTTACACATTTAACATTAACAGCTACAAACTCTCCCCTATAAAAGGGGAGCCCAACATACACAATCCTTATAAATATGATGATATGAGACACTATGCTCAATCCCGATTTAAAACTACTCCTAAGTATAAAAACATGAGTATTAAGTCTATTTTCTTTATTTTAAACTTATTTTGTTACTTAAGCAATACAAAATAAACTGTTGTGATTGAAACAAACTCTCAAAAGCTTAACGAACCAACTGCTATGGTTAATACTCCCAGGACCCTGATTTAGAGGAAGAGATGTCCCTCGAGGCAAGCCTGACACAGGTATGTTTGCATAGAAAAATTCCTAAGGAAAAAATACCTTTGGAAACAGAAAGAATGTTCCTGTACCTAAATAATGACCACCTAGTAATGCATAAAACAAATAGATCGATTATAAAAAGCCTTTGAAATCAGCAGCAAAATAGTAAAAACTGACTTATACTCACTTTTTCTTTAAAAAAAAAAAAAAACGAACCAACTAACCAACCCTGATTCACAATCTCAATCATTTAGCCACCACCCTTAACAGTAATGCCTTTCTTCTAATTATATCCAATTTATCCTATCTATAGCTTGTTCGCAGAGTTGTTTGCATGTTGTCTCTCCCAACAGACTGAGAGCTCCACGGGAGGAGAAACTTTTTTTTTCTTTCTTTGTATCCTCGGTCCTAAAGGTAGGGATTAAGATATGGCATTAGCTTTATAAACGTTTATTTAAGTAGCTAGGTGGCGCAGTGCATCTAGTGCTGCGACTGGCGTCAAAAAACCGGAGTTCAAATTTAACCTCCAGACGCTGTGCAAGTCACTTACCTCGTTGTCTGTTTCCCCATCTCTAAAATGGATATATTAGCACCTACCTCACAGAGTTGCTTCGAGAATCAAGAGATATTTGTAAAGTGCCTGGCACACTATTATCATTTACTTCACTTTCATTCAATATTCCCTAAGGCTTTTTCTCTTGCTGGGTTGAGGAAAAATTCAAAAAAGTCCGCACTAACGAGTCAGAACCGTTCCCCTCGCCTCCGGTATATGACTCCGGGCCTTCCCAACCATCCCCAGTCGCTCTCCCCCGCCCCTGACCGCCGCAGAGTCACTCACGGGCTCTCCAGGGATCTCGTCCTCCGCCCGAGGCTCCCTGAGTGCGCATGGACCAGGGCCAGGGCCGCTGCTCCCGTCCGAGGGGGGCCCAAGGCTGGAATTCCGTGAGACGCTCCTGGAGCCGACCGAAAACGCCCGCGCCTCGCCGCGCTCGGCGCTCTCCTCCCGGCAGCACCCAGGCCTACCGGGAGTCCCACTGCCGACCGCGAAGGGGCCGGAGCGGCTGCGGAGACCCCGAGCGGAGACCCCGAGCCCAGCCCCACAGACCTACCCAACGAGCGCTGAGGCTGTAAAAGCTTCTTCCGCTTTCAGGTTCTCCCCACCCCCACCGCGGAGCCGCCAACAGCTCCCGCCCCCTTCCGGACGCCTGGGCTCCCTGCGGGCCTGAAGCTCGTCCGCCTTCCCAGAGAACAAAAGCGACGCTCCCCCTACCCTCACCCCCACTCCCTGCGACCGCGACTGGGGCCCTTTACCGAACAAGTAGTGCTGCCCTACCGCCGCCAAAGCAACACGAGACCGCACGAGAGGACAACGCACCGAAGGGCAGTCGGCCGTCTGAGGCTGCCTGAAGTGAAGGCGAAGAGAGAGGGCACAGGCGGGAGTGGTCCAGGAAGACCTCCGGGACCCTACCGCACCCACACCAAGGACCAGCAGGGACACCAGAGCTCCCTCCCAGACTAACCCCGGGACCGCCCCTAGAAGAGGGCAGGGCGGGATGGGCAGAACTGGGTCCTAGCGACCCCCAGATTTGTTTTTGCCAGCCGCTGGTTGATTGCGTATAGTCTAGTTAAAAGTAAGGACCTTCAAGGTGGGTTAAAGCTTCAGGTTTTTAGCTCAAAAGCCTGAAGATTAAGAAGCTTAAATGTCTAAATGTAGATGTTGATCTGGAAAACTGGACTTCTTGGTTAAAGAAAAAAGCTGTTTAATTATGTGCAAAGGATTCTGATTGTGGTTGATTAAATATACACAGGATTTTGGCATCTCAGAAAATGACACCCCGGGGTGTTTAGCCCTCTCTCTAGGGGGAAAAAAACATACTTTTAAATTTAATCTGCAGTTTTAACATTTTCTTCATCACTAAGGATAGACAATCAACATAAATAAATAAATAAAGTCCTGATTTTATACCTTTGCCTGATTTCCGAGATTACTCACTGAAAATTTAACAATTGGCTGGATCTCAATTTTGCTGGCTCCAGCACACTCCCCGAGATGCACATCAACACCTTTGGTTGAGATGTCTGGGTTCCTCTTAGAACCTCTTTAAAGAGTGCAAGTCTTTATTTCCTACTCTGGGCTATTAATCTGTCAACCGGGGCCAGAACTGGCCTCTAATCTGTGGGCAGCCAGAGCCGAACAAACAGCAGGCTAGAGACAGGAGTCAGGACACAAAACAGAAGTTTGATTAATTTCACGGTGAGGTAAATGACTTAGGCATATGAAAATCCACCCCAACTCCAAGAAGGAGGGCTTAATGTGCTGAACTAAAGGCAGGTGTTACATACATACTGGGAGGGACCGTGACATAATCATTTTTAGGTCTTGAGTTTCCATGGGTCCTGTGGGAACAGTATTGGCTCAAATCTTAGGGTCATTCACACCCTGCCGGGCACAGAACCAGAATTCTGTTACCAGAACACCTGTCAGTGATAAGGAACAGGGATTGTAACTATGTGATGATGACCCTGGCAAACAGGGGGAACTACATCCCTCTGTGAACACCTGGTGCTGATCCAAGCAATACGCTTTGCCAGCAGTTCATATCATCCAGAGTGCAAAGGATTATTGTTATGCCAAGTTCAGGGCACAGCCTGCTTTCTGGGCCTTAGCTTTGGGAAACAGGATATTTACAAAATATTTTGACAAATCTAATATTGCTAACTCAATCCTTGATTAACATCACCTCCTCAGCCTCCTCTTCCCTCTGACTGGATTCTTCCCGATGCTTTTCTTTATACAAGGCAAAAAATTGAATTTCCCCATCCCTCCACTCTGCCTCTTCCTGCTTTCAAGGGGTTCAAACAAGATGCCCCCTAGTGTTCTCCTCTCACCCATTTTTCTGCTTCATTTGTGTGTTGTCTTCCCCTGTGAAATAGTAAACTCCTTGAGGGCAGAGACTGTCTTTTTATGCATCTGGTCTCCAGTGCTAAGAAGTGTACTTGGCACATAGTAGGTGCTTCATAAATGTTTTTTGGATTGCATTCTTCAATCTCTCCCTATCTGATGATTCCTTCACTACAGTCTTCAAATATGCTCTGATCTTCCCATCCTTAAAAAAAAAATTCAGTCAGTCCTACCATCCCCTCAAGTTATCATCCTGTATCTCTCCTCCCTATTTCAGCTAAATTTCTTGTAAAAGCTTTCTACATGTTTCCTCCACCTCCTCTCCCTATTCAATCAACTACATAAGTCAACCGAAACTACTCTTTCCAAAGTTACAGATGATTTTGATTACTAATCTGATAATCCTTTTTTAAAATTCAATTTTCTTTTATTTTCAGTTCTAAACCATGTATCCCTTAATCCCTTCCTCTACCCATTGTGAAGACAAAAAAAATATAACCCATTAGAAATATGTATAATCATGCAAAAGAAATGTCTTTGTTAGCCGGGTTCCTTTTTTTTAAGCAAACAAATAAAGAAAGAGAAAGAAAATAGTCTTCACTCTACACTCTGAGTCCTTCAGTTATCTATGGAGGTGGGTAAAATGTTTCATTATAAGTTCTTTGGAATTGTGGTGGATCACTGTGTTGATCAGTTATGAAGTCTTTCAAAATTTATTTTCTTTACAATTTTGCTGTTACTTGTATAAGTTGTTTTAGTTCTGCTCACTTCACTTTTGTTGAAAATAACCTCTGGTGCCCAAATAGGCACAGTAAGTTAGACTCAGGATGAGTGAAGCAGTGAAACCTTTTAGTATACTGCCAGTAGGAAGCAGGTATGGAACTGGAGATGAACACACACACACACACACACACACACCCCTTACAGAAATGAGAGCAAACCTTATATCCCTGTTCCCTGTCTGCAAGTACCTCCTAGCTGACTTTCATTGGTAGAAGTCAGAATAGATCACAGACTTCCCAAAATGCCCACCAACATGTTGCCCTTGGTATGTTTCCCCCTCCTACTTCATACATAAAATGTTTAGAAACCCATTAAGTAGCCCTGGAGGTGGAAAAGCTAGTGTTCATAAGCACCCTTAGTAAAGCTTAACCTTTGTCCTACTTCCAGCCTCTTTAATCAAACAACTAGTTTCACCCAATTTTAGCTTCTTGAAGCTTCTGACCCAGAGCTACTTTCTTCTCAATTTCCTAATATGGAAATATAATCATATCACACTTTGCATCAGTTCATACAAATCTTCCCAGGTTTTTCTGAAACTATCCCTTTCATAATTTCTTACTGCACAAAAGTATTCCCTCATATTCAATAAACAAAAAAAAATTTCTATCACAATTGAGAAAAATAAATAACCTCTGTGAAATGGTAAAACAGAAGAAACCAAACCATAGGTCCAAAAGGGGAACCTGGAGTGATCCTGTCACAGTTTACAAAGCATTTATTGCCTGAGAAGAAGCCTGCAAGCTGGAACAGATAGACAATTTCTCAACTGCTCAAAGAGGAACAGGGAAAGGGTAAGGTATTTATACATATTTGAGGTATTTATGACTAAGTGGGGGGAGGGGGTTAAGGAAGGAACACAATAGATCCAGGATGTCAGAGAAGTGGGGGTCCATGAAGAAGACATCTACAAACACAACAAATCAGAAAGTAGGATGTTTGCTGCTCTTTAGATGTTAGAAACCAAGATGTCTGCTCCTCTTCAGATAAGTTAAGAACTAAGATATCTATTGCTCTCTCTGAGCTGGTCAAGACTGGTTTCAGCAGTTGCAGGCATCTCTGAGTTCAGCTAATGTTTACTCCCAAAGGATCACTGTTATGTTAAGCAACCCTGGGCTTCAGAAGTCCTCCCGATTGTCTAGTTGTTGTGCTATTCCATTGTCTGGTTTCCCTATGAAAAAAAGGAAGCTGTAGCATGTTTAAGGGAAGTATAGGCTTTACAGAGCTCATGTCCACATAATCATTAAACATTTATTAAGCACCTACTAAATACCAGGTACTGTTTACCTCCTCTCAAGGAGTTTGCAATCTAATGGGGGGGAAGATAACACACAAATACATATATACAAAGCAAACAACTGTCAACCAGGATGGAACTGGTCTCTAACCTGTGGGTGGCCAGAGTCTAACAAAGCAGGCCAGAGACAGAAGAGTCAGGAATCAAACAAGAAGTTTAATTTTAAGGTGAGGAAAATGCTTACAAGTAAAAGTCCTCCTGAGGACAAAATGAAGTGAGGCTTGCTTACTTGTGGCAGGGGTAGGGTTTTTAAGCATGAAAACCACAAAGAGTCGAGACCCAACACAGTCTTCTTGGGTCTTGAGTAAATAGTTCCCATGGCAAGTCCATGCGTGCAGGCATTTTGGGGACAACATGGGCATTCCTGGGTCCTGTGGGAACAGTCTCCAAGTTATTAGAAATATTGACCCTTGTGATTGTCTCAGGTCTTAAGGGTCATTGAGCTCTGTGAGGTCAATGTCAGTGAGGTACAGAACCAGAGATTCTGTATGGTAGTGATGGGATATGGGCCCAAAGTGAGACCTTTGTCCCAATTTGGGCCCCATTTGTTTATGGGTCCTAGAAAACCCTTTGACTGTCCTTGAATTCTCCCACAGGATCAAGGAGATCTCTGGCATTCCCCTGATGCCATAATTCCATCAATTGGGTTTTCATTTTGGCTACACCCAATCTCCCCTATCCCTCCACTGTCTTACCTCCCTATGGCCCCAGGCTACTTCCCACCCTTTATCCTCTCTAGGTTATATTCTCCCTTGGCCACCCCTGGAGTTCTATTACCTCATAGATTACTTGGCCACTCCTAGATCCCTCCCATAGTCTTTCTGTATATAAGGTCCATCTTGTCTCCATTAAGAGGCTCTGATTCTTATAATCTAGCCAATAACTCAGACTTTCAGATTGCTCAAGAGTCTGGCTAATATGGTGGGTCTTTGGTAAACCTTGTCTGTGGATGAAAGAAGGCTTGAGTCAAATTCTTTTAGACAGGACCTGCATGTCGTTATCTTGGGGTTCCAGCACCCCTAAACCTCTAGACCTCATCAGTAGGAACAGCAGTGCAGCACCTAGTTTGGTTCACTTAGCAGTTACAAGCACAAGGATTGTTCAGAGTGTCAGAAGATGTGATTGATCACATTCTGCTGTAGTTCCAGCTCTCAGATGAGGATCCCCTGGGAAATAGAGAAATCGTAAATCCAAATTCTGGGGTTTTGCTGTGGTTGAGATCATCCAGAGGGTGAGTGTAAAGAAATGTTGTTATGCCAAGCCTGAGCTTGCTTACTGAGCCTTAGCTCTGGAAAACAGGATGTCTCCTAATATCTTGACACTATATACAGGATGCAGTAGGAAATAATAAAATGAAGGCATTAGTATTAAGAGGAAATAGGGGAAAAGGTGTAAAAAATGGTATTTTAGTTGGTATTTGAGGAAAGCCAGAGAAGTGAGAAGGCAGAGTTGTGGAGGGAGAATATTCCAGTCTTGGAAGACAGCCAGAGAACTTATTATGCACATAACTTATTCAGCTATTCCCTATTGATGGGGACCCTCTCAGTTTCCAATTTTTTACCACCACAAAGCAAGCTACTATAAATATTTTTGTACATATAGGTTCTTTTCCTCATTTTATCTCTGGGGTACAGACTTAGTAACTCTTGCTGGGTCAAAGGGTATGTACAATTTTATAGCTTTGGGGGCACAGTTCTGTTGAAAGTACATTTTGGGGAAATCATAACTGACTCTATTTTCTGCTATATTTGGTATTATATTTCTTCTTTTTCTGTGTGAATGTACTGAATGTCTCCTTCATTACCTCCCTTCCCCCAATCACTTTACAGTAACAAAAGAAAACTCCAGGGACCCTGAATAGTTCTTCCAAACTCACTCACTTCTCTTTATTCCCTCTACTAAGGCATATAGTAGGTGCTAAACAAATGCTAATAAATAACTG